AGGAGGACATGGAGCTGTTGGAGCGGGGCCAGGGGAGGGCTACTAAAATGCTCCGAGGGCTGGAGCCCCTCTGCTATGAGGCCAGGCTGGGAGAGTCCTGGCACCCACACCAGCCCTGGTGCCGCTGCTGGCCTTTACCTGCGAGCAGGGCTGAACCACAGACCTTTCTCTCCGCGGCAGACTCTCCAGCAGCAATTTTGGGCAATCCGCTGTGTCTCATGGTAACGGCGCTAAATGCCTCTGGGGTGCTGGCTGTTCATCATTGCAGCAGGAGCTACACAGGGGGAGGAAAAAAAAAAAGGAAAGAGGAAAAAACCCTGCAGAGCTCAAAGGAGCCTACAGCCCACGGCCAGAGCCTGAGCCCAGCGGGCCCCTGGGAGGACGGGACCACGCGTGCTGTGGCTGGAGAGAAACGGGGGGTTTATCTACACAGGGCTGAGGAATGGAGGGGGAGCTTCAAGAGTGGGTGAAGCACCGCAGCGCCTGGTGAGGCACCAAGACCTGTCCCGAGCAGGGCCCAGGGACAGCTCAGAGCCCCCATGCCGCAGCAGCCGCCTCTGTCCCCAGCCGGGCACCGTCCAGGTCCTCCCTCCCCAAACACACGCTTCCCCAGGTTGGGAGCAGAGTCCCGGCCATCCGGACCACTCACCTCCACGTCGCAGCAGCCCTGCCCCTTGTCTGAGCTCACTGCCAGCTACTGCCCCTTCTCTCACAGGAACAGCCTCCAATTTCCATTTAAATTAAGATTTTAATGCTCCTTTTCTCCTAGTCCCTGTGTACCCCAGCTTAGCGAGTGGCTTTGGACACTTGAGTTGTGCCTGGTGGGTCTGGGGTACTTCTCCCTAGTTAATGATTGCTCTTTTCACGTTAACCAGGCACCTAATGAGATAATGGTGGGATCCCGGTACCTCCATAGCAGCTGCCACAGCAGCAGAGGGACACTCAGAGCATCTTTATGTCAGTTTGTTCCCTTACTCCGCAATCCAGCCTGCACAGAATTGAATTTGAGCACCTATTTACTCATTTTATTCTTATCTAGACTACTCGGTGCTGACAGCTACGCTCACCCTGATGGCCTCAAAAAAAATCACCCATCTTCACAACCTGCCGGCAAGGGTGAGGCAACGCCGCTGCCCCCAGTTCACCCGTGGCAAAAGCAGAGCTCCAGAAAGCAAACTGGCTTACCCAGGATCACGGGGCAGGACCGCCGAGCCAGCCACCACACGCACGATTCCTGACCGACAGTCCCTGCTCCAGGATCAGCCCCAGGTGGGAATTCATTGCCCTCACCTCTGAAATACAGGCAGGGATGGAGCGGTACGCTGCACGGCTTTGGGATGGTCAGAGGAGGATGCTTCCCGGTGGAACTGCAAGAGGAGACCTGTGCAGGAAACCCAGAGCAGGAGAAAAAGAGACCCACTCCGAAGCGCGAGAAGATGCATGTTTGCCAAAGCAAGCCTGAGTGACGCCATTCTGGAGCTGTTGTCCGTTTCCCAGAATGACCACAGAAATGTCTGTCATGTGCAGAGGCCTGTTCCATAACCTGGAAATTTTTGATTTAAGCTCGTTGTCACCACTTTGTCTTTCCTGATGCTCTTGCCAGGACGGTATTGGCCATCCATGTGACCGGCCAGGCCCCAAGTCACAGTAAGAGGGATCCAGCTGGAAGGAGCTGGTGCACTGCACCCTTGGCAGAGGACAACCCCGTGCTTTGGAGCTGGGGACTGTTGCAGTGGTCCTCAACACAACTTAAATACAGACAATAACTGGACAAAAAAAAAAAAATAATCATATCACCCTCCGCATTGTCTTTCTTTTGCAGGTTCACCTGGCAAACCACTGATAACAGCAACACATTGAGCTACTTGCTTTTCCCCAGGCTCTTTACAACGTCATGGATTAAGCCCCAGAACCTTGCCACAAGATGAGCATCTGTAAACTCTTCAAAAACAGGGACGCCAGGATGGGATGGCTTCGAAAAGAAGCTGGGTATTCTGACTCCCTCTCGCCACCAAGCCAGGAGTCCCAAAGTAAAGCACAACCGTACTACATGTGCTACACCACCTGCTTTTAGTGTGGGGAATCATTTTTTATA